TCCGACGAAAATGACTGCGATAAGTATAAGCCTTATAAAATTGAAAATTATAGCAGGCAATACCCCGAGGATGGAGGAAACTTCGAATATCTCGTAATTTATGAAAGTGAAATAGTATCGAAACCTATCGGTGACCGAGATCTTATGGCTCTAGGCGCCGTCCTTAAGCGACATAATAAAGGAATCAAACGCTTTAAAAGAATCAATCGGTACAAAGTAGCGGCTATATTTGAGCGACCTGGGTTGGCCAATATGGCTTTGAACAATACAAAATGTTTAACAGAGTTACAACTTAAAAGCACTATACCGGCTACATTAACAGAAGTAACTGGTGTCATTCGCGGCGTTCCTACATATATGTCTAATTATAATATATACACCGGCATTTCCAGTTCCAAAGACGTTGTGTCCGTGCGGCGCCTGATGCGACGCGGGCGTGATGATGACGGTAACCCCATCCTGATCCCCACCCAGACCATTGCCATCACCTTTTCCTGTCCTACTCTTCCTGACAGTGTAGATATAAATAGTTGGTTTTTCGAGGTAAGCCAGTATATTCCACCTGTTAGCCAATGCCTACGTTGTCTACGATATGGACATATTGGTAAATATTGCAAGAATGCACAGAGGTGCTCAATTTGTGGTGATAATCATCATTATAAGCAGTGTACCAAACCTATGAAAGATGCCGTCTGTGTTTTCTGTAAAGGAAACCATATTTCAATCTCATCAGAATGCCCCAAAAGAAAAGAGGAAATAGAAAAAAACAATGCTAAATTTAATAAAAAACTATATGCTGATGTTTTAAACAGTAAACACTTCCCTGACTTATCTACTAATAAACAAGAAAAACAAATACAAACTATATTACAATCAGATAATATACTTAATCTAATTATATCTACTATTCTCAAACTATATACCCAGAAATCATCTTCAGATAACTCATCTCCATTAACATCGGAGACTATTAAAACAGTATTACTTGACACATTTAATTCTAGTAAATGTAATACAGCTAGTAATAAATAATGGATCAGCTCAATATTGTACAATGGAATGCTCAGAGTCTACTAAGCCATAAACATGTCTTCACACAGTACTTATATCAAAATGATATACACATTGCTATTATTTCGGAAACCTGGTTACAATGCACAAAAACTATTAACATAAGAGGCTATTTAATAGAAAGGTTAGATATAGGTTCAAAACACAATGGTGTTGCTATTATAATCAGAGATTATCTTCACTATAATAAGTTACCAACTTATTATGACAACTCTTTACAAAATATTGCTATAAGACTACAATATAATAATGAAACAATATCTATAGTAAGTTTTTACAGTCCAACCTCTGCAATTCCCTATAACTTTAGTTGTACCCATTTAAATAATCTAATTAAATCTATACCTAAACCACTAATCTTCGCCGGCGACTTCAATGCACACCACACTATGTGGGGTTGTACATCAACAGATATTCGTGGTTCAACTCTTTTAGATGTTATTAATGATAACAATTTATGTATCTTAAATGATGGTACAGTAACTACTGTTGGCTCTCATAACTGGCGTCCTAATGCATTAGATTTAACATTAGTTTCACCAGAATTAGCACTAAGATGTAATTGGCATGTACATGATGACTCCCTATGTAGTTACCACTTTCCTGTTATTACAAAGGTATTATGTAATTCTGTAAATATGTATAATGTTGACAATAATAATGTTAGTGTAAATTATATAAAACCTAATTATAATACGGTAGACTGGAAAAAATATAAGCAATTAACTGATATTACATTAAGAGATGTAAATATTGACACAACTAATCCAGAAGGGTGTTATGATCAACTGTCCAAAATATTGCTTGATTGTGTATCTGAAGCAAATCTTTCTAAGAAATCATCTGTAGTATATCGACAATCATTTCCTAAACCAAAAAAGAAATTAAATCTTCCGTGGTGGAATGATGTATGCTCACAAGCTGTAACAAACTGTAAGACTGCATATATAGAGTTTAAACAAAATCCTTCTGAACAAAATTATATACTGTTTAAACAGAAACAAGCACAGAAAAAACTAACAATTAATAATGAAAGGCAAAAAGCATGGGTAAAATTATGTAATACTTTCAATCGTCAGACACCTTTATCATTGATTTGGACTAATATAAGAAAATTTAACAAATCATACAGACCTACTTTTAATTCAAATACTAACAATTGGATTCAGTCTTTTTTAGATAAGTACACCTCTAACACTCAATCTCCACCATTAGATTACTTTTCTGACCAATGTCTTGATAGTGAATTATTTTTTATGAAACCATTCACTTTAATAGAGTTACTAAGTGCCATAGAATCCCGCAGAGATACAGCTTTTGGTTTAGATCACATCTCATACAAAATGTTTAAAACTCTTAGTCCTTCCAGTCACAAAATAGTTTTGCAAATCTACAATTCACTTTGGGAAAAGTCAATTATTCCTAAATCATGGAAAGTCGATTGTTTGGTCCCCATTCTAAAGTCTGGCAAGGATAAAGATGACCATGACTCCTATAGACCTATAGCTCTAACATCATGTGCAGCAAAACTCTTTGAACAGTTGATCAAACAAAGACTAGATTACTTTATAGAACACAATAATTTATTGCCTTATAATCAGTTTGGCTTTAGGAGAGGTCGTTCTGCAGTTGAGAGCCTAAATCATTTATATTTAGACATACATAGTGCCTTTACAAATGGTAAGTTTCTTGTGTGTATCTTCTTTGATATCATAGGTGCCTTCAATAATGTTGACCATCATATTTTAGCAGAAGAATTGTGTTCTCTCCAGTTACCTGTGAAATTAGTGAAATGGATATTTAATTTTTTAAACAGTAGGGAAGTCTATGTTAAATTTCAAAATAATTTGTTTGGACCACAAATGTCTAATAAAGGAGTTTGCCAAGGTGGGATACTCAGCCCATTGTTATTTATTCTGTATATACATAAGTTAAATAGTATATTAGGAAATGATGTAAATAATTTGCAATATGCTGATGATCTCACAGTGTACTGTACTGGCACAAATATGTTTCAAGTGGAGAAAAAACTTAACTATGCATTACAAAAATTAAAATCATATTTTACATATCTGAAATTGGATATTAATTTAACTAAAACCAATGTTGTAGTATTCAGCAAAAAGAAAATTTTACTAACCAATATCATATATGATGGCAATCCACTTCCCGTAAGTAATGAGGCTAAGTTCCTCGGTGTCATATTCACTAAGAACTTATCATGGAATAAACATGTAGCTGGCTTAGTAGACAAATCACTAAGAGCTTTTAACATCTTAAAGTCCTTAGCTCGGACATATTGGGGTGCTGATCCAAAAATCTTACTTATGTTGTATAAATCCATTGTCCGTTCTCATTTTGAATATAGCTTTCTATGCTACACATGTGACCATTTTCTTGTTCATAAATTAGAGAAGATTCAAAATAAAAATTTAAGACTTATCACAGGAGCAATGAATACAACTCCTATTATATCTATGCAAGTAGAGTGCAATATTTCTTCATTATTTTTAAGATTCAAATATTTAAAATTTAAATTCATCCTTAAAATCCACAGTATAAATAATCACCCTTTAGTAGATAAACTGATTCGTCTAAGTGAGTCTTTTTCATCATTAACATCTGTAAATACTCATTGTAAATTCCCATATATTCTTCATGATTTCTGTGAAATATCAGCATATATTTTAGAAACAAACATAAATAGAAATGAACACTGGGCTTGTTATAAAGGTTCCTATGAAGGGAAATTCCCACAATTAGAAATAAATATAGATAACAACTTACAAACAAAAGAAGCTGTATATGAAAAGTTATCAGAATGGCTAGGTTATGAAACAATTTATACAGATGGCTCAAAAAATGACTCTGGAGTATCAGCTGCTTATTACCACAAAAATGTTAAGTACGGCAAAGGACATAGACTGCCAGTTATTTTCAGCGTGTTTTCGGCTGAAGCCACTGCAATTCTGTTGGCTCTCAGATATGTTCAAATGGATATCATGTGCTCCAACAAAAGCAAGTTTTTAATAGTTTCCGATAGTATGTCCGTTCTCAAAGCACTTGATAATTTTAAACTACAGAATGCTAATTATATATTGTTCGAAATTAAAGAAGTTATTCAAAAATTATCTGACAACAATAAAATTGTAAAGTTTCTTTGGACTCCAGCACATGTTGGTGTGGCAGGCAATGAAAATGTTGACCATCTTGCCAGATTAACGAATTTACTGGGTGGCGATATTAAAAACATCTCTTGTCCTTGGCAAGATGTCGTACCGGAATACCGTAAAAAAATCTACGAGCAATGGACAGCAGAAAGAATACTTGTCACTACTACAAAAGGTGCATGGTATGCTGGTATCAATAAAGAAGTTGGCAGAAAACCTTGGTTCGCTATATCCAATGACTACCTCCAGAGGAAATTCTACACTCAAATAAATAGATTGAGATTTGGACACTGTCGATTTAAAGCTCACTTACATCGTATGCATATGATAACATCTCCAGTATGCACCGAATGTTCAACTCAAGAAAACCAGACACTTGAACACATCTTTTTTTCATGCCCAACCTACAATATCCAGCGACTCGTTTTGATCCATCACCTCCTGAAAAGATACAAGACTATCCCGCCTTCCCTTCAGGATCTCTTAGCTTGCCCAGAAAACTTTGTACCGATCTATGACTATATTAGCTCCACTCTTGGAGAAATCTGATTTGACCCTCCCGGATATGTAAAATGATAACCCTGGACAAGACAAAGAAATTTAAAACTAAAGATCTGGCTATCAGCCTTTTAAAAAAAATAAAATAAACAAGACAAGATGGAATAAAATGAAAACAAAAAGAAAAGATTAGGCTTTGCCTTATAAAATAATATAACCCAAGATTTGGCTGTATGGCTTAGTTCCTTCGCCTGTCCCATGGACGAATTATAATACTACTACTAAAAGTACTCTGTGAGTAAAAGTGAGTAAAAGAAGGTCTGTGTTTATCACATAAAAAACAAATTGCTGAATAATTTTAAATTAAATTAAATAAAAAATAACGGAGGCATGCAGATGAGTCGAATGGGATCACCGTCTGTAGGCATGGATGAGGATACAGGCGTTGGACATGTTCTGAGCGATTTTTTACTGCAACTCGAGAATTATAACCCATCAATACCAGATTCAGTTGTTGCCCACTATTTGAATATGTCTGGCTTCGAATCGCAGGATTCTAGGTAAAGAGTAACATTTGCGTTAGTAATGATTAATTATATTGCTATTAATTTGTGTTTACTTTGCATGTCAGCCCTATCACAAGTTTTATCTTGATTTAAACGGCAGTGGTAGTTTTCACATACATTGCTTAGTGATCTGAGATTTGTCATTAGACATTAAACCCTGTGATTGTTTATTATTCTTGACTATTTATGTTATAAATTTATTGTAAATTAATTACATTTATATCAGTAGTACTGTTGTCTTTCTTTTAATAAGCAATTTTATTATTAAGCTAATCTAAGCAATATCACAAAAATCATTCTATGTAATTTCTTACATATTTTGCATAATTGATGTATTTCTATAGAGCATCATATGGATACTTTACTGCATATATTGGGCGCACTAGGGATTAAACAACCTTACATATTTTGTTGATCTATTTACAAATAAATACTATATCATTTCTTTTTCCAGACTTATTCGTCTAATAGCATTAGCATCACAGAAATTCTTATCTGACATAGCTAATGATGCACTGCAACATTGTAAAATGCGTACTTCAAGTCAAGTAACACAGAACTCTAAAAACCAAAAGGGGCCAAAAGAAAAGAAATATGTCATGACTATGGATGACCTAGTGCCTGCGTTGCAAGAATACGGTATCACTGCGAGAAAACCACACTATTTTGTTTGAATTTTGTTAAGCACTGATTTTTTTTACGTTACAATTAGGTATGTTGTTCTGTATTAGATAAGTCTAACTATAGTGAATAAAATTTCTGAATAGTTTAAGTTCATGCAATGGTGTAGCTAGTATTAAGTAACTAATTTTATCATCAGGGACAAAACTGTGGTATCACCCCAGGAATTTTCTTTTATTGTGATACACAGCAACATGTTAGTCTACCATAAAAAAACAGTTTTCTTCATTCAAGCCTGATACTTTCTGATAATTCAGTTATCGTCCTTAATGGCTATTCTATGATTTACCTAGTATTGGTAGCGACTATATTATTTGTATTTACCCAATCTGTATCACTTGTCCACACACACTGCTTATAGTACTTGCACTAAAGTTAAAATCAATAATTATGTATTTTTAGTATTTCATGATGTACCGTTTACCTTACATTGTGAATATAACAACATCAAGTTGATTTGTCTTATTGTTGAAAAGTTGGTTGCTCATGAAATAAATATATTTTTCTATCAGCCCTTAAATGGCTATACCCACTTTCTCAACTGAATCATGTTTTGCTATATGTGTTGCTGGAGATGGACAGAGAAATGTTTTGCTATACACATTTATGTTCATTATTTTATGAAATATTGATAAGAAATTAATTTATTTCACTATTTTATTACACCTGGGGTCCACTCACAGTATAACATCATTCTAACCAACTTAGTTATTGTAATATATTGTATAAATTATTCTTGACTGTTGAAATATATAGATCATGTCTAAATCCACGGAAAATGTTTTTGATGCAAAATATAACAAGTTAAAATAAAAGTTTTGATTAATTTGATGAAAAATTTAATATGAACTAATGAGAAATGTTATTATAGATATTTAAATTTGCTTAGTTTTAAAGCTATATCATTAATAACCTGTATAGAGTTATACATAAAAAAATGTGGAAAACAGGATAAAAAAGTAGTCTATCATTAAAAAAAAAAAATTAAAGAATAATTTTTAAAGATAATGTTTTGTTAGTGTATGTTTTTTAATAGTTATGGTTTTATTGTATTGCCAGGACAGAATAATACATTTAGTAATGTTACAAGTTACATTAAAAATGGGACACACCAAAGTGTCCACAGAAATAGTGGAACAACATACTTTCTATATACATTTTTTGTATTTGCTGCCTGAGAATAGAAAAGTGTCCACATAAATGATTATCAAATGTCTCTACATAATAATAACATAGTTTTCGAAAATTATAGAGCAATAATAGCCAGAGGGTCTACAGCATAACTTATGAAACTTTTTAATTGATTGTACCACATAAGCAATTTCAATTCCTAGTACCCCCAAAATCTTATTCTGTAAATGTTATAGAATACTCCTGTATATTATAAAATAAAGAGTATATTTATCTTACTTCATTTTACAATTTAAAATGCAGTTTGACAGGACTAAACGTAAATTTAGTTCAGTTTGGAACAGTTTAATTGAATATTTAGTTGTGGTAGGCCACTCTTGGGTTATGTTGAATATGCATTGTTAATTTCGTTTCAATAATTATACTAAGTAATTTAATAATAAACGGTTAAATATTTAAATATCATTGTTTTTTTGCCATTCCTAAATATATGCTGATCTGTGAAAATTGGCTTATTGTTAGTGTGACTTATATGGAGAATTCGGTACTACTCAATATTATCATCAATCTATTTATTTATCCAATCGTAAGAGCTTAAGTGACGACTACGCATTATGTGAAATGAAATTAAAAATATACACGAGGTGTTTTGGGGTAATCACGAAAGTGGGCAAATTCTGAATATGACATTGATCCAATTCTGAAAACGACATTGATCAAGCAATGTCTGTTTTATGTAAAAAAATTATTTGTCTACTTAGTAACAGTTGATACAAAAAAACAATGCTAGATTTAGTGGCAATTCGTAATTTTCTTTTTCCTTCCCATCTATGTCTATACACTGTCGGTATTTCGAACGGCGCCATATACAATACACGCCGCAGTACTCTGCCTCCCCCTCCTCATTATAGTGAATTTCCCGAAGATCATTGTGCCCCCCAACGTGCAGCGCTCGGGTACGTTGCACCATGGCTAAAGACGGGTTTGCAACGGCTTATACTATCTTACTACTTGAAAATAAACCTATTTGGTAAGATATGAAAAAACACAGCTTCACAAAAGAGTATTTATTATACAACCGTTAATAACAAAGAAAAAATTACATAAAGGCATTCGTAACAAATGAAAACTTAATTTATACTAAATCTTACACAAGTACTTACAGCCCTTGTTCATGTCGGCTCCTATGCCTAGACTTAAATAATCTACACATATTAGAAGTCTTATTTAAGGTCAAGTTGAATTTACGAAGAAACACCATGTCGCGATTGCGTTCGAGAGTAAGGGGGCAAATCTTAAAATATGAAATTCAACTTTTGCTTACTTTTTTAAAAAAGCAGACTCGTATTCATAGTGGTCATAGGAGAGAACATTCTACATTAAATAATATTTGGCCTTTAACATAGAAAAAGAAATACAATACAAAACAGATCACAGAATTCACAGACCTTGAGTAACTTTAAACAGTTTCGTGCGTGGACCGGACCGTCTTTAAGCAACTTAGTTGTTATTAGATCCATAATCTTTTTGATAACACTAGACCTGTTTTCCTAACCTCGCATCGCAACGGTAGGCCAATTCTGCTAACGTTTACGTAATAATAGCGTGTCAATAGGATGTCAACTACTCGCATTTTGCCCTTGTACTATCTACCTGAACTTCAATATTATTATATATATGTCTCAATCGATGTGTGAGGAAGACATTGAACTAATAACATTGAACTTTATGTAGATAGTACAATGGTAAAATGCAAGTCGTTGAGATTCTATCGAGATGCGATTATCACGTAAACATTAGCAGAATTGGCCTGCGGGTCAAACGCGGTAACTTTTAAAAGACTTATGGCACGGTCGTCGAAAACAGAATTCCGTACCGTGGATATATCTTTCACTCATGCGCAATATGCTTCCACAGATGCGTCTACCTAAATTTTGTCACAGTAAAGTGAATCTAAAATGTTTATGAAATCTATCAGTAGACACAAAAATCAACGTAAGAAATTCTTTCTGTTCGGAGACTGCGCTATATTAAATACACCGATACCTACACCTAAATTATAATAACCATAAATAATTTATTAACAAATTTAGGAAGGATTTTCATAAAAAAAAAAAACAAACAGAAGACGTTCCTTTCTTTGAGTAGAAACCACAGAAAATATCTTTTATGGTAATTTTATTGTTAAGGTGTATTTTTAGTCACCAACTAACAAGGTTATGAAACACTGCTCTACAGTATTAAAAAAGGATTTATTCTGGACTTGGTTACCATAAAAAACATTAATTTTCGAATAGGTTTTAAATGCGATAGTTCTTATATAGAAAATTCAATCCTGTTTCTTTTTGTAAATTGCTTTTAAATGTTCAGACAACGGTGTGTTATCCGTTTCCATGAACAATGTTATTTCTAAGGTGTCATCACTCAATAATCGAATTATACGTTTGAACTTCTTCACGTGGGGCGGTTTCGCAAACGACATCCTAGACACATTCACAGTTTCTAGAACAATTTCTTTTTTATCAGGATCACAGTATCCTTCTTCAAGAGATGTCAAACCAAAGTTGTGACTGACCATGAAAGCAAGCTCTTTGGTACCAGGTTTTATCCACAGGAAGCCTCGTTCTTGATGCATAGGTGCTTGCGTCTCAGGGTTGGCAGACTTGGATAGGAAGTTGAACATAGCCTGTCCTGGAATTTAATATAAATTTTGTTCAAATTTCTGTTGTTCAAAATAATTATTTAATTAATTAACAATTAATGGCCAATATTTTCCAAACTCAAGGTCACACGTAAATAAAATGGGCTCTAACAGGCGATTCCCTACTGGATAAAATATGAGTAAGGAGTGATTTCAGGGGTACATCAAAGTTTTATTTATTTAAACAATAATGATATTTTAATTGATTTTATATTGGTTATACTTTTCATAATATAGTTTTCAGGTAATCACTAAAGTATTTCGTTTAAAATACATAAGATAATCAACATCTATTGACAAAAAGTTATCAAATGTCTATATCTGAACTATAGATAATAAATATCTAAAACAATTAAGGTACCACACACAAGCCCTAAATTCAAGACTATAATTTATTTTACTATCTGCTAGTTGCACAAACGTTCATTAAAATTTTCATTAGTTTAAAGTGACATTACCCATACAAATTTGACATTCATTATTGCTTAAAGGCGTCATTAAACCTTAATGGATGTTTGTGCAACTCACGGTATGTCTAATCTATACATATGATATTTACCTAATAAAAGAAGATATCTAGACATACTGACTGAACAGACAACGCTCAGCCTAAACTTGACATTTGGAGGGGACATTTCTCCTACTATGTAGAGGAGGTCAAAAAGGGTGAAAATGTTTATATTAAACTACTTTGTTTTTGACCTATATCGATGAAACTTGGCATATGAGTAGTTTAAAACCCTAGGAAGGTAACAGGTTATATTTTAAGCCGATAACTAGTCCTTGAAGGGATAAAAATGGGATTAAAATTTTTATAGGGAATCAAAATGTAAGCATAGCTACTATTGTTTACGATTTAATTTGTCATTATAATAAATCTATCCAATATTATTTTATTTAAAAAATATTATCTTATTTATTTAAAATATTCAAGTACAGTACAAATCATTATACGAAAGAAAACACAAACTATATGTATATTTTGTGTTCTATACTAGATGGCAATAAGTATACTTAGCACTGTTTTGGTCAAGGTTGAGTTTTCAAATAAAATTTAGTTTTAAAATTTAGCTTTGCTGATGAGTAATCTCTTTTTATATGATGTAATAAGTGGCAAGAAAAACTCATTTACTATTCTATACTAATATTATATGTTAAATCTAAAAACATGTCACAGTTCATCTTTGTCAAAGACAAAATAATGAAACCTTATTTAAAGTATTTCACACTATATAATTAATAAATATTTGTTTGAGAAATCTCGTATATTATACAGCCAGCAAGCCTATAGAAATAAAAGTCTGTATAATTTAAATACAGGTTATATTCACATGATATAAAGTATAACTTCATTGACTTTCATCAATAACAGCCTAAAGGCCATAACAATAGCATTTTTTAGTATGAAGTCATCAATATGAAAAGATATAATCATGTTATTAGTAACTTAAATAAACAAATATTGTACAACATCATGTACATTACTCAGATACCAAGTTATGAAGCTAAATTGAATATATGAATCTATAAAGGTACCACAACACCTAGATCCAATGAATTACAGAAAAGTTCATTGTAAACTTTGGAATTACTTCAATATTATAACTACCCTCAATTTATGATCAACATTTAAACCTAAAAATACGTCATAATAATTAGAAATATAAGGGATCTGATGTGAACATATAATAATAGTATAGAAATAAATATGGAATTGGCATAATTCATAATTGAATGAACTTTATTTAAAATTTATATATTGAAAAATAATGAATAAAGTACAAAAACAAAAATGCTTTCCAATTATTATCCAGTTCAATGAAGCGACTGGTGACTTAATTAGCATTTAATTTTTGCTTACCGATGCATGAAAATTCCAAATCTTCATGATACTGGAACTCCGGTATATTAGGATAATAACCTCTACCTTCCTTGGTGGTCCATTGTCCAGCTAGCCAAGCAACAGGCGTCAATGCTTCATGAACATTAGATTGCACCATTTTTATCAATTAAAATCGTTCGAAGTATTATATTTTTCCATCAACTTGCTGTACCAAACAGAAAAAACAAAGCAGATTTTTGACATAAAGGGTTTAGCCGGATACGTATGACGAGTCGGCCCCCAAATGGGAATCGATATTGAAACTTATGTTTTAATATCGACTTGATGTTCAAACACGATTTATGTACTTTTCGCGACCGACTTCCGCTTTGACCTTGAGATAGAGAGCAAAATATCCGTATGCTTGACTATTACTGAATGTGATATATCTCTGAAGCTAATTAAGATAAAGAAGTGAAACTAACGCGAGGTGTTAGGTTACATTACAGAGTATATCACATATATTTTTTTTATAATTTTTAGAATAAAAAATTACATTAAAAAATTAAAAATAAAAAAAAACATGTTTTTTTTTCTGAGTTCTCTGTGACTTACAATCACGAAATTAATATATGTTATGCTCCTTTGTGTGCTCTATCACCCATAAAAATTGCGTGAAAAAAAAGTTGGTGCAACACAACGAAAAAAAATTATATGTGATTTCTGTCTTATGGTATACCCCTGTATTATAAGGTTTTCACATAACATCATTGTTTTTTTTTTCGAAATTTCACATCAGCTTGTTTTAAAACATAAGTAACTAGTCTTAAGAGATGGGATAATAGTTAAAAAAGAAATGAAAAAAAAAACAGCCAGTGTTCAATACTTATTATTATTACTTTTTCGTGTCTATCAAAATACAAGAAACAAAATATTAATCATCGTCACTGTTGTAATTAATTACAATCGGAACACTTTGAGTCGCAAATAAATTAGTTAGGACCTCAGCAGGACGTACGATTTTGGACAAATATCATCCATATGATAGATAATAAATAATAGCTGCTACATGAGACCAGCATCCCACTGTACGTTTGCCATTGGGGCAATCACAGCAATAACGAAGAATACTATTGTAGTCATTACCTTCGGAAATATAGTGAATGTAAATTCGATAGACTTTTCTATTTATATGTCTTGATTTTACTTCTGCTTTGATGATATTAGGTGCTGATTTCACATATTGTACTGAGAGATTATTTTGATCGTCCATTATTTCGGCCAAGTTAAATGCTGCACATTTAGAAGTAGAAGCTTTTTTGTTAATATATGGGATAAGTCGACACTTCTTACAAAAAATATCATTAACTATTACGATTTTATTCAAACAGTCACTAAACACTTTAGCTTCTTCTTCATTCTTTATAATTTTTTTATAACCAGGAATCTTACTAACTAACTAAGTTATTTGCGACTCAAAGTGTTCCGATTGTAATTAATTACAACAGTGACGATGATTAATATTTTGTTTCTTGTATTTTGATACACACGAAAAAGTAATAATAATAAGTATTGAACACTGGCTGTTTTTTTTTCATTTCTTTTTTAACTATTATCCCATCTCTTAAGACTAGTTACTTATGTTTTAAAACAAGCTGATGTGAAATTTCGAAAAAAAAAACAATGATGTTATGTGAAAACCTTATAATACAGGGGTATACCATAAGACAGAAATCACATATAATTTTTTTTCGTTGTGTTGCACCAACTTTTTTTTCACGCAATTTTTATGGGTGATAGAGCACACAAAGGAGCATAACATATATTAATTTCGTGATTGTAAGTCACAGAGAACTCAGAAAAAAAAACATGTTTTTTTTTATTTTTATTCTTTTAATGTAATTTTTTATTCTAAAAATTATAAAAAAATATATGTGATATACTCTGTAATGTAACCTAACACCTCGCGTTAGTTTCACTTCTTTATCTTAATTAGCTTCAGAGATATATCACATTCAGTAATAGTCAAGCATACGGATATTTTGCTCTCTATCTCAAGGTCAAAGCGGAAGTCGGTCGCGAAAAGTACATAAATCATGTTTGAACATCAAGTCGATATTAAAACATAAGTTTCAATATCGATTCCCATTTGGGGGCCGACTCGTCATACGTATCCGGCTAAACCCTTTGTCAAATTCAATGTCAATCACTAATGACATTATTGACATTCAGACATCGAGCATAATTTTTTTTATGTGGCTTGCACTGTTTGTCCTTAGCCTTGTCAAAGTTTGGGACACGGAAACGAAAGAAATAGAAGTATACTGATATTTTATGGGATATGTTCAGAAGGCTTGAATTAGGAGAAGGAAGACTTATTTACATAATTCTATAAAACATATAGAATACAGGATGGTTACAGTTTAATATTATTTGAAGTTATATATGATACTATTGAGCATATTATTGCTTATTAAACCACTTAAATACCATAGATGTATACTTAACAGGACTAATAACTCAGAAAAACCGGTTAAGTGCGAGTCGGACTTGCGCACGAAGTTCTGTACCGTAAACTAGCAAAAAATCACGTTTTTTGTATAGGAGCCCCCTCTTAAATATTTGTTTAATTTTAATTCAATTATTTATTTTTAGAGTTACTATAAAATACCTATTCTGTAAATATTTTGAGCGTCTACCTTGTTGTCATTGTAAATATCGATCAAAAACAACAAAAAAATTACGTTTGTTGGATAGGAGTCCCGTTAAATGAGATACAGCCTGGTGATAGACAGACAAACAGATTTACCCGTTTTACCCTTTGGGTACGGAATCCTAAAATTGTTATTTCGTTATTTTACTTTAATAAAGTATATATTTCCATACCGAGTCAAGAGGGATTGCACCAACGAAGGCAAGCTCGTTCTTTCATCTTACAATTGTAAAAAATATCGTTTTAATAAATTTTTGCTCTAAAACTTTAATGGAAATACTTGTATTTTTATGGTACCTTTTTTTAAAATTAAATATATATAAGCACATTATTATTATTTAATTTTATCGAGCCTCTTTGTAGTATTCTATAGATTATTTTATGTTATTCGTCAGTATTTTATACATGCCAACAAATTCAAATGTTGGAAAAGTGTTCAAGTCGTCGTCCAAGTGAATCAGAATCTTATGGTGTTTGCAATAAACATTTTCACAAAAATTGTAACTATGATTACCAAGGAGTCAACTGATGTGTGTAATCAGACAAAGTATTATTAGAAACTACCAAAAAATTATGATAACAAAGATGGCGCCTATGAACTACATACAATTTATTTTTTTTCATTTTAACTATGTTTTGTCTCCTTTATTGTCAATCTATAATTTAGTTTATGACAAATCTTTATAAAGTTTTCTACCAAATAATGTCTCACTTAACAAATATGTTATTGTCACTGTATTAAAAAGAGACAAATAGCTATAAACTCTACTCCATACCTAGCTCGCTGTACAAACCATTTAAGCATCCCTCTTTTAATTTTAGGCACTATAATCTTCTTTCATGTCATATCTTGTAACACTGTTTGGAACTCTATCACTCAATATAGTGTTAATGTTGCACGAACGCCTATGCTTACAACGCCGGCTATGTTACGCTATCGTTTATACGCATGTATGAATAAATATAAGACGCTTCATAGGTTCTATTCAATTTAACGACCAAATCCTAGCGCCGAAAATAGAACACTACATAATAAAAAAGCCTCATGTCTTTGCGCGCTGACGTATGAACATTTATGCTTGGGACTTGGGACTTACATATATAATCTTCTTAGGGCTTATGATACTATGGTATCATAAGATTATACTCGGTGGAACAGAACGACCGACACTCCCGAAGTTCCTGGAGAGTACTATTTGTCTTTAATATGATGTAAAAAAATTATAAGTCTAGGTGAAATAGTTTCGGAGATATTAAATTACAAAGTTTTTGAAAAAGATTAGTGTTTTCAACCCTGAGTCAGCTGTTTTTGGGACGTACTAAGGAAAAGTTTTTAATCGGTCTTTGACTTCTTCATTTATGAAAACGAAATAAACTAGTTTGTGATTTATAAGACTGCTTTCATGCAAATTCTACCAGTCAATCAATAAACAAGGCAGTCAAAATGCTTAAATCGATTTACAGACTAACAGCCGGTTTATGATTTGAAAAAAGTAGAAAATTTCTACTGCTTATTCTCAATAACCTAAGTTTTTTTAATTTCACAAGTTAAATAGTCTTAATTTTATCAAACTGCTATCAACTGATCATTAAAAAACTAAAATCGGAAACGAAAATTAAGTGATGTTAGTTTGAGACGTTTAACTTTAAATACTCATTTTCTTTTATATTTACATTTTTATTACTCCATTTACTTTTACATTTTTACACCTCCTCTATTTTTAAATATTTGTCAAATAAAATGAATGTTTGCATGTAACCTAACTTGAAACTTTCGGCTGTGTCGGACATTTTGTTCCTCCCTGTATTATACCTGCAAGGTTACTTTCATACAGTACCAAACCTCTGAGTATTTTTACATTTATTTGATGTGTTTTTTATAATCTGATATTTATTGACCTTTTCTTACATTACTCTTGGATCATAGAGATTTTTTTATCTAGTCATTTAAACCTTGCCTAGAGTATATGTTCATGTATAAAAAAACATCGTCATAATGTAAGACATGATAGAAATTCTATTTATTAAACCTTGGAATCATGTAGCCTAAAAATAGGTATTTCAATTATAAATAATCATACTGTACTGGATGGTATAATACTATAATAGTAATATAGCTATTTGGAATCTTAATGATTTCCAGACTTTCAGTATAAATACCAATTCATGGAAAGATCGGAAGCATGAGTTTTGCAAAACGGAAAGTATCTTTGGATTGTAAAAAGCACTTGATGACTTCAAGAACTAAGAACTTTTTACAAAAGATCTGCTATAAGAAGACTGCTTCAATAGATATGACAAAATACGGTTTCATAAAAGACAGCAAAGAGCTTCCAACATATTTATTATTGAAACCATTGAGAAATCAACTAGCGAAAATATGCAGTCAGTATAACATATTATTAATAATTTGGTTTACTTCTTCCACGAACGAAGTACATAAAAAGTTAATAAGGTATTTGACACTATTGAATATAAATAATTTGCATGTTATGGTCATCTAATGTCAGGTAATAATCTAATAAAGTTTATTTCTTAGAATCTGCAACAAAATCTTTTGTAAAGAAAATATCATATTTTTAGGATTCT